CATGGTGGGTTAGTTTTCTTACCTCATGCCAGTCTGAATGCAGAGGGTAAGACTTTAGATCTCAATATCCCCTTCCAGGACACAATGCAGGGACCCAAATATCTTCCATTATGGACCCTTTTCTAAAATTTCTAGTATCTCCCAAAGGTGCCACACATTTGAACAGAAGCCTGTAACATGTAGGCCTTTGAGGATATTTAATTTTATTGCATGTACTTTTGTCTCCTTTTACTTTCTTTAATGTTGAGACTTTTTGCCTTTTAAAAATACATGTCTTAAGGCCATAGGCTTTGGCAATAGAGAAGAACAACATGCATGATTTCACCTGCTATCTGTATCCACTGTTCCAAAAGAAAAGTGTCCTGAATTAGGAAAATTGGGGGCAAGAACAGAATGTTTCAGATACAGTATATCCTCTGGCTTACAGGGATTAAATTTTGAGGTCAAACTACATTTTAATTTGCTTTCCTAGTTTGTGGAGCTTGCAAATGGGTTGAGGACACCACCTCATTCTTGCTCTTCCTCACTGTCAGGGTGATAATAGCTGAGGTTCACAGAGGGTTGCTCCACATACCATATCGTTGGGCCAAACACACCATCAATTTATTCACCTTCAGTCCTCACATCAGCTGCTGGAGCTAGGTATTTATATTGTTGTCATTTGAGAGGTGGAGAGAGTAAAATCTAAACAAGGTTAAATGTCTTGGCCAAGGTTATGAAGAAGTCAGATTCAAACTCAGCAGGAAGCTCCATGTTAGGTTAGCTCCCACTCACTGCCAGCTTCTACCAGCCTGGTAGGTGCAGCCTGTACTGCCTTCACCCCAGCCCTCCTGCCATGAGTACTGCACCACATTTACCCCACCCAAGGTTAATTTCACAAAACGCATTTAATAGCCACACACATAAACAAAACCTAGAATGCAGTGCGTAGAGATCATTAAGTTTAAAAGTCTGCCTGGAACTTTGAGGATTGTACAGGGAAAGCCAGGATACCTTCAAAGACAGTAGACCTAGTATGTGGTCCACGTACTTCTGTGTCCTTAACTTCTGTCTGTTGACTGGTGGTAGTTGCTCTTTCTGTCTTTCTATCTCTATTGGACTTGTAAGCATAATTCCTAGGAAGTGATTTAGTCATCAGTTTTCACATGTATTGAGATGGTGTTTATAAATCAGTTTCATGCATTTGAAATGTTTTTCTGGTTTATTATTTACTTATTACTTCAAGTTTTACATATTTATACCTTCATCTTTATAAAATTAGTTGAGCTAGTGGTTTAAACATTTTATTGATTATTTCCCAAGGAGTTAGATTTTACCTTGATTTATTATTTCTGCTGATTGGCTGTTTTCCATCTCACTGATTTCTACTTTGATCTGTGTTCTTTCTGTGGTCTTACTGTTATTTTTGTTAAAAATTCTTTTAGACTTTACTCTAAAATTAAGAATTTAATTATTTTACTGTTTAATTTTTATTTATATGAATATCTAATACTATAAAATATCCTCTTAACTGTATTTGATTTGTTTATGGTCACATAATTTTTTTCTGAGAAGTTCTAATATGCAGTTTGGTGTGTAATTCTACTTTGAACCAAGAATCATTTAGTGGTGCTTTTAAAAATTTCTACACAAGAAGGTCTCATTTTTAATGAAGTTTTAAAAATTTTAACAGTTGTAATCAGAGAATATTGTTTATGTTTTTCCCTTCCTTGAAATTTATTACTTCTTTGACCCTTAAAATAGTAGTTTTCCTTACTATTCTCCATGTTCACTATGTTTACAAAATAAGCTCTTGCCCCATTTTTCTTTTGTTTTAGTTGAGTTTGATTGCTATCATTTTCCTTTGCTTTATGGATGTTTCTATGCTGTAATTTTGTAGTTTGTAGCAGAGTTGACAAAATATATCTGGAAGGCCAAACCCAACCCACAACCTGTTCTATAAGTAATGCTTTATTGGAATACAGCCTCATTTATTTCTTTATTTATTATCTATTTTTTGCCCATACATGGGCAAAACTGTTCTGACATCAGATGATACATAATGCCAAAAATTTTTATTAGATATCTAAAATACTGTTTTAGCCTTGTAAAATTCTAAAATATTTGCAACCTTTACAGAATAAAAGGTTTGCTCAGGCCTATTTGTTGCTATATTATTTTGGACCTTATTTATTTTTTCCTTTGTCTTTGTTAGAATTGAAGCATAATAATTCTCTATTGTTTATGTTACATGTGTTATGAACAGTGCTGTCCCATATTATTTTTAGTAATGATGGAGATCATATGTACTGTCTAATATAGTAGCCACTAACAATTGTGATTACTAAGAACTTTAAAATGTGGTCAAGTAACTAAAATGTTAGTTTATAGGGATAAATGGCTAATTGCTACTGAATGGAAACCATAGTACTATGTTATGAAAAGAAAATGGTCAGAAAAGTTTATCTAACATCCTAGCTCTAGAAGACTCTCTGTTTTTGGGAAAAGGACTTTGGGAGGAAAGAGATTGTAAGATTTATGGATTTTTTTTCCTCCTGAAAGAGTTTTGGCTCAGGCCAGACACTATAGCTGGAAAAGCCTCAGTTGGAACCAAGGAGCTCGTATCTCTCCCACCCCTAGGAATTTACCTATGGTTCTATCTTCCCCACTCCTAGGAATTTACCTATGGTGCCAAAAGAATACCAATCGGTTACTTGTGCATCCCTAGTGCCCCCTTAGGTTCCAACCCAAACCGAGGCTACTTATATGCCTCCACTCCATGTGTTCGACGGAGAGATCGCTGACCCTGGGGGAGATGCTGTGCCCTAGGGGATCAAGGGTGTCTCTCCTCGCATTCTCAAAATAAAGGTCATTTATATTTCATACTTCTTATCTTTCAGCCACCGCCAGTCCCCCACAGTTCTATCATATGGTTCCCTGACCGGGAATGGCAGAGGAGAGACTCCTGGAGCTTTCTCATTTTGAGTCCCTTGCCATTCAGGACCAGGACCAGACTGCATCCTGCATTAAGTCCTCACTTCTACACTCGAGAGCTGTAAACTTGTCACTGCTCACTTGCAAATAAAACCAACCCAATTTACCACAGGTGAGCAACTCTCTGGAGATTGCCACTGGGCCAGGCCCCAGGCGGGTTTTCTCCCCCTTTTCGTGGGTTTGCGTGACACTCTCATGTCCTTAGATAGCACAAAGTAGAGTCTTTCTGGGCCAAACTGTGTCCACACTGGGAGACTCTCACATCCTTTGGGTTCGGATAGCCCAAGGCAGTCTTCCTGGGCCAGCCTATGTCCACACTGAAAGTCTCTCACATCCTTCAGAGCTTTTTAAGTTCTCACGGGCAGAGTTATTACTAAATCCATGAGAAATCCATTCATATATTGGTGACAGCCAATTATTATGAGTTTTGGAACCATATAATAGCCAATGGTCTGGAGTAAAAAGTGACGACTTTAAACTTAGCAGACTACGGTCCATTGCCTCTTCTGGCTATAACTCTGTGGGCTAGACCCCACACCAGATTTTATCTTGGGGACCACTTCCTGCCCCCCCAAACCATACCTATTTATAGCTTATCACACTGATGACAAGTTTACAAAACTCTCTACCTTTAAGCCTTTGTTTTGGGAATATGTGTCCTTTCCCGCTCCTCCAGGATCCCTCCTCCTCCCCACACTTAAAGAGATAATAGCGTCTTTCTCTGCAGCCTTTCAGAGCTTTCTCAGTGTCTCCTTTCCTCCCTGCTTTCTCCCCCCTCCCCCACATCGCGTTTCCCCACCGAGATGGGAGAAATGTGCCCAAACAGTGTTGAAAGATATGCACGGCTACTTTAACCTCTCAAGTGTGCTCCAACCCAAACAGTGTGGGAGAAACTACTGCTTTAGGCTTTCATGCTGGCCCCCAACTCCACGCAGTATCTTGGCTCTCATGCGGTGCTCCAGGTCCATGCGGGTTCGGCTTTAATGCTGTGCTCTAATCTGCACGTCCTGCGAGCAGTTCCTCCATGTGGCAGCTCAGCTCTGCGTCGTTTGGCTACTGGCTGCACCTCTGGGAGCAGCCCCAGCTTCATGCCACGTCCCAACACTGCCTCCCAGCTCTCCCAGCACAGGTGAAACCCTGTGCGTCACTGCCTCTGCCTTGCGCATTTCTGGGTGCAGTCCCAACCCACCCCACACACTACATCCCAACACTCGCCCTGCCTTCACTCTGCGTGTGCTGCCCCCACCCTAGTGCCTCACCTGCCTTAAGCACCCCGCCCACTCTGCATGTTCCACCTACGCACTGTGTACCAGAGAGATCCCAGCCCCTGCCCCCAGGTATGGGTACGGCTCTGTCTGCAGGCCCGCTCTGTCTGCCAGCGCAGAGACTGGTGCAGCAGACAATTGTGATCTGATGTTGTATTCGTGTTTTCAGATATAAAGTTCTGATTGTTTCTGCTTCTTTTTTTTGCGTTCCAGCCATGAAAAATGTTTTCTTTTAGATCCAGATATATGCTTAGAGATATACAATCTACATGTTTAACAACTAAAATTAAAAAATACTTATGAATTCCTTTTGCTGAGAACTAGCTCTTTTCCAAGACAAGAGTTGTATGATATATGCAAAACAAGACCAACACTGCAGCAGAAGCCAAACTTAACCCTTTCCCAGCCTGTCTGCCTGCCCTGGCTCAGCCCTCCACAGAGCCATAATTAACTGTATTCAGCTGATATTAAATAACACCATAGCTGATTTCTCCCCTAAGTAAAAAGATAAAAAATTAAACAGGCCATCCTCCAAAAATCAGATGGCATTAGACATTTTAATAACATAAAGAGATACTTATATATATGACATAAATGACATGTCAGTTCCTAAAATTCTCTGGACCTTCCTCCTTATGAGAAGCCATTACTAAAATTATAAATACCCTGTTGATTATATCCTGCATACTTACTTAATTCTACAGATACCTTCTATAGTAGTTCAAATCCCAAACAAAAAGGCAAAACTTGACCTTCAAATCTCATAGAGACCTTAATATGGCTTTTTGTGTTTTCAACAACAGAGATAACAATAACACTTGTGACACTTGGAGTTCTGAGACAGGTAAACTGACACAAGGTGGAGCTGTCTGAGTGCTCCCCATGGACCATGCCTCAAATGCAGCAGAAGACATTGGGCGAGACAGTGCCCCATCCTGGCGTTCTTTGAGACCTTATCCCAGGGCTACTGGACTGTCCTAGCCACCAGAGAGTGGGTAAGCCATCCTAACTTCTAGCCCTCACAGGAAATGCCAACATGCTAGATTCATCGCTGACAGATCTGCTTAAACTTGCTGCTAAAGACTGATGGGGCTCACGGCCAACAGCAGCCCCCTTTATGGGTGTCCATCTGAGAGTCCAAGTCCCACTAAATGTCTCAGGTAAGACATTCTCTATACTTGTGGACATAGAAGCCATATATACAGAGTTCTTCCTGAGTTTTCAAGCCACTATATTTAGTCCTCAAATCTCTAGGGGGTATTAAAGGTCAACCTATGCTATTTACAAACAGGGCTGATTTCGTGCAGGTTCCAGACTGCTTCCCAGTCCACCCAGTGGTGCCAAATCTTCCCTCCACCACTCACTCTACAGTACTAAATCTTAAAAATGCCTTTTATTCCCTTGTGTTTATACAGGCTGACCCAGCACTGAGGTCTCAACATCTTACACCTGTTATTGCTAGTAAACCTCTCCTCAGTGATATAAGACCATCTCCTTCCTTTCTTATTCACCAATTTCTCAGGCAACTCTGGTCAAGATTGACAGGTAAATTTTGTCTTCTCACTTTGTTTATACTTTTTCAGGATACATAAAAGCCTTTCATACAACCAGGGAGACTGATGATATACTTGCTAAAGTCCTATTACAGCAAATCATTCCAAGGACTACAACCAGGTTACAGCGACCCATACCTTATATTCTTGGCAACCTCAACAGTGATCAAAGTTGCTAGACTGCCATCCTGGTTTCACATCACTCAGGCTAAATGGTGCCCTCCCAGCCCTAAATCTGATCATACTGAATGGTCATCTCATCTTCTGTTGCCCACCCATCTCGTTTCACGAAGGCCTCACAGCCACAGTTAACAGGCTAAGTCATGTTTTGTTACCCACTTTGGTTCCTAATTTCTTACATTCTATTAATGATCATTTTTACAGCAGGACTCTTGACAGTCTTTCCTAAAGACTCCCACATCATGTGTAAGATAATCTTCATAATGTTCTATGTGATGACTGTCTTAGTTCTTTCTACCTCAGCTGTTTGGTTAAATGTGACATCCCTGAAGGCCTAGGCCCTTACCTTCCCTATACTGGTACAGCCACCGCCTTCCCTGCTCCTCCTATTTTTTCCAGTTCTCCTGGACCAGAGACAAGTTTTACTCACCTACCCTTTTAACTTTTACCCTTTCAGATGGGGGAGAAATCATCTCTCATAACTTCACTCCTCGTAACCCCACATTTATTTTTCAGAATTCTACCTTAATGTGGAAATGTTTCTAAATCAACATGGTCCTGATATAATGACATATATAAATCAAAGGCACCTTTCCTTTTTACCTCACCTGGGTCCTTAAATATGACAATGCCATGCCTCTTCATAACGTCTTGTCTCTTTGTTTTCCAGTCTGACATATGTGCATTCACCAGTGAAGTTGTCCTGGCTAAAACACCTGGCACCAGCTTCTACCTGGGCATCAACCGTCATCCTGTCAACTCCCCTAGACTCCAGTACAGTGCCCTCTTCCAGCAGGAAGCAATTAAAGAAAGAAATCTTTGCCCCTTTTCATAATAATAATCATAAGACGGGATATGAAAGAGTTTTGGCCCAGGCGGGACACTGTGGCTGGAAAAGCCTCAGCCAGAAACCAAGGAGCTCGTATCTCCCCCAGCCTTAGGAATTTACCTATGGCTCTATCTTCCCCACCCCTAGGAATTTTCCTATGGTGCCAAAATAATACCAATTAGCTCCTTGTGCATCCCTAATGCCCCTCAGGCACCACCCCTAACCTAAGCTACATGTATGCCTCCACTCCACGTGTTCCACAGAGAGATCGCTGACCCCAGGGGGAGATGCCACACCCCAGGGGATTGGGGGTATCTCTCTCTGCATTCTCAAAATAAAGGTTATTTATATTTCATACTTCTTATCTTTTCAGCCGCCGCTGGTCCCCCACAGTTCTATCACTCCTTCTTTGATTTTAACTCAGCTTTCTTGGTCATTTGCTACCGCTGTCCCTGTCCTGCTTGATTTATATTCTATATCCAGCAGCGTTTCCTCAGTTCTGTGCTTTTTCTTAGAAGAGCCACTTGGTGGGTGCATATCAATGGATTATGGGTTCCCAAACAGCTGGCACTATTGGAGCTTCCCATGAGCCCCTTCTATCCACCTGAGAATTTGAGTCTTCAAACGAATCTCCTCAGGATCAGTTACTATCCTCAAACAATGGGGAAGCTTTCTAGGGAGTGGTTATTGGCAATCCCGGGAGTCCTTGGCTTTCAGGGCCCTTAAAAGTTTCTTTGTATTTCCTTTGCACTGTCCTGCACAATCTTGGATCCAACATAACTCTTGAGATATGCATAGTACATGTTCTGTGTATATTTTGGGATTCATGGGAATTGACTTTATGATTTTAGTGAGATTGTAGTTTGTGTGTATTAGTTATTTTCTGTATCTCTTTTATGGGAGGATTTAACAAGAACACAACACTATTCCATCTTCCCCAGCTTTCTTAGCATTATTCTCAGATATGATGGCTTCAATCTATCTCCTACCTGAGACCTATTGACTCAGTACCAATACCTTAATTTATAAGAGGAAAAACATTCTTTGGAAAGAAAGAGTGACTTGGTTTTGGTCACAAAAGTAAGAATTATAAAACAAAATTCGAACTCAATTTGCCAGTTATTTTGGTCCTGTGTTTTTCTCTTATACATTCTGAACAGAAGAAGATTTCTGTGGGCAGAACTATCTGACAGCCTATCCCCTCCATATGGTCCAGTAATCAGTTCTCTGTCACAATAACTTTCCTGTCCCTATTGTTTCTCTGCATTGATGCTGCTACCTGTTTGGGAAATACTTCTCCTTCTAATTGTCTCCAGATGACAGAATGGAGATAAGACAGAAGAGGCAAGGACAGAAAGACCCAGGCCAAGTGTGAGCTTAAAAAGCATGAGGACAAGGTAGTTTTAAGAAGTTATGGGAAGATTCTGGTATTTCCCTCTTACTGTCTATATAACTCCAGGGATGGCTGATTCCTTCTTGGTGTAGAAAATAGAAACATGTGTTTTTTTATGCTGCTCAGGCCGGCCTCAGATTTGTGATCCTCTGCATTGTGATTTATATTTAAAATGTCCCCTCAGTGGGTGATTGGAGCACAGAGATATTATACTCATCAATGGACTCCACTATCAGTGAATTTGGTAGCAGAATATGCTCTTAGGAGATGGGACCGGGTTGAGTGTAGGTCACTTGTGACCTAACCTGAGGGGCCTAATTTTGCCTCCAGTTCCTCACTCTTCTTTCTGTTTTCTGGCTGCCACAGGTCAAACACCTTTACCTTCACCATGCTCCTCTGTCATCCTGTTTCTACTTTGAGTCTTGCTAACCATGTAGTGAAACTATGAATCAAAGTAAATCTCCTATTCTCTAACTTGTGTTGTTGAGTATTTGTTCCAGAAATGGGAAAGTGATCAAGACATTCTGCCTCAGAATGCTAAACAGGTGAGGCTATGGACATACACCACAGCATCCACTTGAAAACAGGAAAACAGATGTCATAGTGCCTAGCACAGTGCCTGGTCCATTCACGTTGTCTAACATCTATTAACCTCTTCTTCCCTTTCATTTCCTCCAGCTTGTACAGCACAAAACATGTCAGAGCTTCTGTAGAGGTATTCCATCCAAAAATGAAGATAGGAAAATAAGCCAGAGCTTATTCATCTGACAGCATGTCTATTGGAACCTTATGACTGGTAATATAGAGAAGAAAAGAGAATCAGAAGGATGAGAACCCCATAATTCCTTTTTCTCCAAAGATTTTTCATTCATCCATCTGAGTCAGGGACTCTGCTGTATCCAGCTTAATTGTACACATGACCACCAGTGGTCCCCAGACTTGGTTACATGGGCAGTATGCCTCTTACTGGCCTCAGGGTCCCCAGATGCTCAGGCTCCAGAACCTAGTATCACCAGTGGTGCCTGGAAAATAGCTGAGAACCTGAAAATGAATACTTTGGAAAAGGAAATAAAAAGCATGTGAAAACCATGGTGATACAAAAGAAGATAGAGAAGAAGTATGGGGAACCCTGTCCATGTCAAATTTTCCCCTTGAAGTTTAGTTTTAATCATTCTTACAGCACACAAAACAAATCAATAGTTTTCTCTGTACAGATGTTCTAGTTGGAGTCATGCATCTTCCTTGAAGAGTCAGCCATCACTAGGAAAACCAGCCCCTTTATTTTTGTGAATGAATGTTATAATTAACTGTCACATGAAATACGATACTGTGACTGACATCATCATCAGATCCTCTAACCCCAGATGTTTGAGATTTCCTGGTGGCAGGAAGCATAATTGGGAATGCCAGCCAAATGTGTCTCCGGGTAAGGTCAGGCAGTTCAAGAACAAATGTTCCCATAGGCAGCATCTCATTGAGGTAACTAAGCTGTAAGTGGGTACTGCTCTCCACTCACATACCAAAGAGAAAGTAGGCTCTGCAGAAAGAGCCATATTTGTGGAGAGGTGGTAGAATTGGGGAGATATGAAGTAGTTAACTTCCCCAGGCCTGAGCAATCATCCCACATCAGGCACACCAATATATGTATAAGTCAAGTTTGGTTATGGGATGGTATTTAGTTTACTGCTTCTTCTACTGTGGAAAAGCAAAGGCACAGTTGGTGTCTTAGTCCACTTAAAATTGCTACAACAGAATACCTGAGATGGTAATTTGCAAAGAAAACAGTTTATCTCTCACAGTTCTGGAGGTGGCAAGTCCAGCATCACAATTTAGTATGGCGAGGTCCTTCTGTGTGAGCTAACGTGATGAAGGGGCACATACACAAGGCAGTGAGAGCAAGAGAGAGCTGAGGAAGCTGAATGTGCCTTTCCTACTAACCCACTCCTTCTGTAAACAGCCTTCATCCTCTGTAGTGCAGTACCCACCTAGCGAATCACTTCTTAAATGCTCACCTCCAGATAGGGGAGAGGTGGCCAACCATTGTCACAAATATGTGTCCTCCACCCATTAAAGCCACGCTGGTAATTTAAGGCAAATCAAAGAAAGCCCAAAGTGGAGACCAAGAGATCCATAGTATTTATCTCCATTTTGAAGATGATGAAATTGTGGCTCAATGAAGCTCAGAAATGCTTCTGATGACACACTTCAGAGACCCACATTGAATGTTGGGAGAGGTAGAGAGAAATAAGAATAATCTGGATGTGCTGATTAGTATAATTCTCTCCCAAATCTCCTACCCAACTTCTGCTCATTCTCTGGACCACACAGCACTGAAGATATGGAAGTAGAGGATGTGAATTCAGGTGGGAGGAACCAGAGATCCATCCCCCTACTGCAATGGCAGGATCATTCCCAGTTCCACAGCAGCTGTAATTTTGCCAGGATTTAAAGCTTATGTGGTCTTACTCTTCATTTTGCAGCAGAAAAGAGAGCCTTTCCGATTGTGTTGCAATAGTCATTTGTCCCCTGTGTCCTAATAGCAGGGGGAAAGTGGACCTCAAAAGCCAGAATACTTTCCCTCTACCATGTTATCTCTTCAGGGTGTTACATTAGGATTTTCCAGGTTCAGTCTCTGCCCAAAGTGATTCTTAACTACAATCCTTCTAAGTGCTATTTCAGACAATCTTTAGGTGAGAAATATTTATTCAGAATTATTTATGTAAGTGCCTTCCAACAATAGCCATGTAACCACTTACACCGTACAATCATTCTAATCTGTCTAATTTGACTGTGAGAATAAGCATGCTGCATCCCAGTCAGGAGACAAAAGTCACCATCAGCATCCATTTCATCCTGTTCCAGTCTGATGTACTGACAAAAAAATGATGTCATATTACATCAATTGCCCTGGTTGACTCTCAGTCACCGTCAAATGCTTGCAGATAAAAGACCATCCTACACAAAAATGGTAATTTGCCTCTTCTCACAATTACATTTCTCTTTGATAGACTTCACAGATACGCACTGGAAATAAATGTCCTGTTTCAGTAGTGTTTAGGTTTCTTTGCTCATTTCCTTTTCTGTTACTGCTTACTGGGGAAATACATAGCAAAGACATCAGGTTACTTTCCTTTAATAAACTTGATAAAGATCAGACTGGACAGAGTAATAAAGCTACATAATTGGCCTTCCTCTGTTCTTAGACTTATGAATTTTCTTCACACAGAAAAAAGAATGTAGCCTTAGACACCATTTCTGATATTAATTTGATCCTGAAAGAGCTATTTAAGGTTTCTTAGCCTTAATATATTTATCTTTTAATTGAGGATATTAAAAAAATGTACATCATGAGTGGAGGTTAGAAAGAATAAATGAGATCACATTCACAAAAGGCATTATATGGCAGGAGTGGTAGCCCATGCCTGTAATCCCAGCTACTTGGGAGGTAGGAGGATCACAAGGTAGAGGCTAGCCTGGGCGACTTAGCAAGACTGTCTGAAAATAATAATGAACAGCTAAGGACTTAGTTTAGTGGGAGAGTACTACTATAGAATGTTCAAAGCCTTGGGTTGGATTCATGGTACTGCAAAAATGGCCAAGGCATACAAAGAGTGAGATGCATCCTGCATTCGTGTAGTTAAATGGGCTGGCTAATATGTACCAGGCATTGTTGTAGATACGGTGATGATGTAGGAAAAATGTAACTCCCAACATGGTAGATGTCAGATGTGCCAAGTTTGTGGTCTTACAATCATGAGGAAGGAACTCATGCATCAAAACAGGAAGTTAGGAGAGATTTATTGGAAATCAGGTAAAGGAGACTCGCTCCTGAATTTCATGGGGGTTCCAGGTGGGTGGACCCTGGGACCCTTTGTCAGGATCTGAATACAATGTGAATCAAACTACAATCACCCTATATGGTTGCAAGTATAGTACTTAGCTAATATTGGCCCAACAGGGAA